GATGTTTTGATCCCTTGGATCCGCACTACTCATCTCCAGCTCCGCGAGCGGTTCGGGACGGAGTTTCCCGTCCTGCGTCTGCATTCTGACAGAGGTGGAAAGTTTTCCTCCGACCTCTTGGCAGCCTTCTGTGCGGAGCACGGCATTCGCCAGACGTACACGCTTCTGGCCTCTCCGCAGCAGAATGGGGTTGCTGAGCGCCGCATTGGCTTAGTCATGGAGGTCGCTCGTACCTCCATGATCCATGCGGCTGCCCCCCATTTTCTGTGGCCGTTTGCGGTCCGGTACGCCGCGCATCAGCTCAAACTCTGGCCCCGTGTCTCCTTGCCGGAGACCTCGCCCACACTACTGTGGACGGGGAAGGTTGGCGATGCGTCGCGTTTCCGGGTTTGGGGTGCTCGTGACTTTGTCCGCGATACCACCGCGGACAAACTCTCCGCTCGCGCTGTTCCCTGTGTCTTCCTTGGCTTTGTCCCTGACGTGCCTGGTTGGCAGTTTTACCACCCCACCTCGCGTCGTGTCTTCCCTTCTCAGGACGTCACGTTCGACGAGTCGGTTCCCTTTTACCATCTCTTCCCCTACCGCACTGCCCCTCTCCCCCCCCCGCCGCTCTTCCTCGCTCCAAGTGCTCCCCAGGTAGACCCCCTCCCCGCTCCCGGTCCTGCTCCTTCAGGTGTGTCTCAGGTAGAGCCTCCTCCCTTGACTGCGCCGGTTGAGGTCACTGGTGACTCAGGTCCTGCTGCGGGTGGTTCTACTCGGGGTGCTGCTTCTGGGGGTGCTGAGCCTGGGGGTACTGAGCCTGGTGGTGCTGAGCCTGGGGGTGCTGAGCCTGGGGGTGCGGAGCCTGGAGGTGTGGAGCCTGGAGGTGCGGAGCCTCGGGGTGCGGAGACTGGAGGTGCTGAGCCTGGGGGTACAGAGTCTGGGGGTGCTGCACCTGGGGGCGCTGAGCCGTCTGGTGAGCAGTCTCCCTGGGGTGACCGTCTCCGCAGTCCCTCTGCTGATACCTCGCCCCTGCACTCTCGTCGTGGGCTCCCTCTCTCCTCACAGCAGCTGCGTGAGTGGTACGTTGGCCGCCAGGGTCGCGCTGCTGGAGCTAGGGGCCCTGCTGCGGGAGGCGCTGGTGCTGGTGTCTCTCCTACTGGAGCTGCTGCGGGTGCTGGCGCCGGAGGTCCGGGAGCTGCTGCGGGTCCTGGTGCTGCTGGAGTTCCTGGGGATGTTGTGCCGGTGCGTGAGGTCCTGGAGGGTGAGGAGCCTGGGCGCACTGAGCTGGAGGGTGCTGGACCGGTTTCTCGCTGGCCCCTTACACCAGAGGAGCTGCGAGAGTGGTTTGCGGTTCGTCAGCATCTGAAGAGGCGTCCTGGAGTTGGCGGTACTACAGCTGGAGCTGGAGACACTCGTGCTGCTGACACCACACGCCTTGGAGGTGCTCGTACTGGAGGTACTCGAGCTGCCGGGGCCAGTGGTGTTGGAGGAGGTCCTGCTGGAGGTGCGGCTGGAGCTGCTGGTGGAGCTGGTGGAGGTGCTGGAGCTGCTGGTGGTGCTGCTGGTGGTGCTGCGAGTGGAGCTACTGGTGGTACTGCTGGAGTTGGAGCTGGAGCTGGGGGTGCTGGTGCTGTTCCTGCTGGTTCTGGGGGTGCTGAGCGGCCGCGGTCGTACTTCGTTCCGCTCCTTGAGCAGGTTCTTCGTCCCCCGTCTTCTCCCAGTCCTGTCCCCTCCTTAGCGTGTCCACCGCCTGTCCACTCGTCGTCACAGCTACAGCCTGCCTCCCCACTGCCTTCTCCGTCTCCTTACACTGGTCTGACTGGAGGTCTTGTCGAGCGTCGTGAGCCTGCGTCTCGTCCTGCGTCGCCTGTCCGTGTTGCTCGCACTGGTGCTCGTGGGTCGCGTCAGCGTTCTCCTCCTGTCCCCGGCACGCATCGGATGACTCTGCGTCCTTCCACTGCTCCGCAGCGTGTCCCTCTGCCGTCTCCTCCAGAGTCCTCTCTTCCTGCCCTTGCTGATCCGGAGTCTGACTCCCTTCGTGCTGCTAGTCCTACTGTCACGAGTCTCCTTGCTACAGTTGTCGCTGACCCTTCCTTTGAGTCTGCTGTTGCGTCTGCTCTTGTTGCTGAGCTTGTCGACTTTGCTGCTTGCTGTCGTCTAGACTACGCTGCTAGTCTTGTTGATGGATCTGAGTCTGTCTGTCCTCCGTCCGTCGGGGGTGAGTGTGCCCTTGGCACGGACGTCCTTGAGGACAGGCAGGAGGAGTTTCAGTGTTTGGCTGCTGCTTCACCTCATCTCGTGTCCATGCTGCTTGCCCCTGAGGGAGACCCGGATGCACTAGACATCCCGACTCCGCGCTCTTACGCGGAGGCGGTTGAGGGTCCCTACTCCTCTCAGTGGCAGGCAGCTATGGACGCAGAGATGGCTTCCTGGAAGTCCACAGGCACCTACGTCGACGAGGTTCCCCCACCTGGGGCGAACATCGTCAGTGGCATGTGGATTTTCAGGGTGAAGCGGCCGCCGGGTTCTCCGCCTGTCTTCAAGGCGCGTTACGTGGCTCGAGGCTTCAGTCAGCGACAAGGAGTTGACTACTTTCAGACCTTCTCTCCCACCCCGAAGATGACCACTCTTCGGGTACTACTGCACGTCGCTGCTCAGCGTGACTACGAGCTTCACTCTCTTGACTTCAGCACAGCCTTTCTACAGGGCAGCCTGCACGAGGAGATCTGGCTGCGCCGCCCACCTGGCTTCACTGGGTCGTTTCCTCCTGGTACCCAGTGGAGCCTCCGGCGGCCAGTCTACGGTCTCCGCCAGGCACCCCGTGAGTGGCACGACACACTGAGGACTACACTGGCGGCACTTGGGTTTGCTCCTTCTACTGCTGACCCGTCGCTGTTTCTACGCACCGACACCTCGCTGCCGCCGTTCTACATCCTCGTGTACGTCGATGACTTGGTTTTTGCCACTGCTGACACTGAGGCACTGACTCAGTGAAGTCCGAGCTGCAGAAGAGACACACGTGCACAGACCTGGGTGAGCTGCGCAGCTATCTTGGCTTGCAGATCACTCGGGACAGAGCACGCCGCACCATCACCCTTACTCAGTCACACATGGTGCAGCAGGTCCTTCAGCGCTTCGACTTCCGGTACTCCTCGCCACAGTCCACTCCTCTGCCTACCGGTCACTCGCTCTCGGCTCTGCCTTCGGATGAGTCCGTAGAGCCGAGTGGCCCATATCCAGAGCTTGTGGGCTGCCTTATGTACCTGATGACCTGCACTCGCCCTGACCTCGCTTACCCTCTTAGCATCCTGGCACGCTACGTTGCGCCCGGGAGACACCGACCAGAGCACTGGAAGGCAGCTAAGAGGGTGATGCGCTACTTGTGCAGTACGTCAGGCATGGGGCTCGTGCTTGGAGGACGGGGTCCAGTTGTTCTCACTGGTCACGCAGACGCTTCTTGGGTTGACGACTTGGCTACGCAGCGGTCGTCACAGGGTTACACCTTCAGCCTTGGCTCTGTTTCTGTCTCTTGGCGGTCTACCCGCTCGTCTTCTGTTCTCAGCTCCAGTTGTGAGGCTGAGATCTACGCAGGGGCCATGGCTGCACAGGAGCTGCGTTGGCTCACCTAACTGCTGACCGACCTGGGCGAGGCGCCTCGTTCTCCTCCAGTTCTGTACGTGGACAACAAGGCAATGCTTGCCTTGTGTCGCGAGCAGAGACTGGAGCACAGAACGAAGCACATCGCTCTTCGTTACTTCCTTGCCCGAGAGTTACAGCAGCGTGGTCAGCTTCGCCTTGCTTACGTGGCCTCTCAAGCCAACTCTGCTGATGTGTTCACCAAGGCACTTTCGCCTCGTGACCATCAGCGTTTCTGTACTGCACTTGGCCTTGTTCCTGTGTCTTCTCACTTACTTCCGTCTTGACCTTGCCTGTACTGTGATCTATACTATATACCTACATGCCTGCTCTTGTTAGGTAGTGATCAGTGTACTGTTGCTTTTGTATATATATCTCTGCATGTGGACTGGCCTTGTGGCCCTTTGCTTGTGCTCAGATTGTATGGTGACGTTGTGATCCACCCTGAGCTTGCTTGCTTCTCTTGCCTGGTCTTGTGACCTCTTGTTCTCCCCCACTTTGCCTATGGGGGTGTGTCAAACTTGTATGCTATAGTCTCTGTAGGCTGTAGTGGGGTAGCTCCTATGGGGTACAACACTTTAGGGTTTTCTACTTGTACTCCTCATGTTGCTCAATGCAATCATTCCTGCTTGCTATCTTGACACTTCCAATTAACCAGAAAGGAAGAACAGGTTATGAACACAATATAATTGTGTATACTCTCCTGGACGTTTTCTCGTATTTTTCTACCCCTTTGTACACTTTACCACATGTTGCTGGTACGAGCCAACACTCTCGCATGCACGGCTTTACTTGCCATACCATCATCAATATTTTTTGGCAGATTTAGTTGTGTTATAGAAACCGAAACAGGATCTATTGCCCATGCAACCTATTCATATCTTGATAGTTGACCCCATCTTTGTCCTTCCCCTTCTCGTCACTTTGGCTTGGTCGTTTTCCCACATTCTCCTTGTCATTCTACATCATGAAAGTTCTTAGCAACCTTGTCGGGCTTCCTTCTTCCACTTCTCCTCACGCTCACATCCCTCATTACCGTGTAAGCCCCTATTGATTCTGAGAACTTTCTAGAAATGAAGAACGGATTATGAACACAATTTCAGTGCGTATACTCTCTTGGACGTTTTCTCGTATATTTCCACCTCTTCGTACACTTTACCACATGTTTCTGGTACGAACCAACACGTTCAAACACACAGCTTCACGTGCCATAACATCATCATTGTTTTTGGGCAGACTTAGTTGGGGTATAGAATTCCAAACAGTATCTATTGCCCTTGCATCCTATTTCATCCTGATAGTTCACCCCATCTTTGTCATTTCCTTTTTCGTCATTTTCTCTTGGTCCTTTTCCCCCATTCTCCTTGCCATTCCACATCAAGAAAGTTCCTAGCAATCTTGTCGGGCTTCCTTCTTCCACTTCTCTTCACGCTCACATCCCTCACTACCGTGTAAGCTAAGATTGGTTTTGAGAACTCTCTAGAATAGAAAATGTGTTTCCAACGAGCCTGAAAGGAAGAACGGGAAATGAACACAATTTCATTGCGTATACTATTTTCGACGTTTTCTCGTATCTTTCCACCCCTTCGTACACTTCACCACATGTCTCTTATACGAGCCAACACACTCACACGCACCGATTCATCTGCCATACCACCATCAATGTTTATGGGCAGATTTAGTTGTGTTATAGAAACCGAAACAGGATCTATTGCCCATGCATCCTAATCATATCCTGATAGTTCACCCCATCTTTGTCATTCCCCTTGTTGTCACTTTGGCTTGGTCGTTTTCCCCCATTCTTCTTATCATTCTACATCAGGAAAGTTTTTAGCAACTTTGTCGGGCTTCCTTCTTCCACTTCTCCCTCGCTTACGTCCCTCACTACCGTGTAAGCCACGATTGATTTTGAAAACTTTCTAGGAAATGTACTTCCAACGAACCAGAAAGGAAGAACAGGTTATGAACACTACTTCATTGCGTATACTCTCCTGGACATTTTTTCGTAGCTTTCCACCCCTTTGTACACTTTACCACATGTTGCTGGTACGAGCTAACACTCTCACATGCACGGCTTCACCTGCCATACGACCATCAATGTTTATGGGCAGATTTAGTTGTGTTATAGAGACCGAAGCAGGATCTATTGCCCATGCATCCTAATCATGTCCTGATAGTTCACCCCATCTTTGTCGTTCCCCTTGTCGTCACTTTGGCTTCATCGTTTCCCCCCATTCTCATTATCATTCTACAGCAAGAAAGTTTTTAGCAATTTTGTCGGGCTTCCTTCTTCCACTTCTCCTCACGCTCACGTCCCTCACTACCGTGTAAGCCACGATTGATTTTGAGAACTTTCTAGGAAATGTACTTCCAACGAACCAGAAAAGAAGAACATGTTATGAACACTACTTCATTGTGTATACTCTCCTGGACGTTTTTTCGTAGCTTTCCACCCCTTTGTACACTTTACTACATGTTGCTTGTACAAGCCAACACTCTCACATGCACGGCTTCACCTGCCATACCACATCAATATTTTTGGGCAGATTTAGTTGTGTTATAGAAATCGACATATGATCTATTGCCCATGCATCCTATTCATATCATGATAGTTCACCCCATCTTTGTCGTTCCCCTTCTCGTCACTTTGGCTCGGTCGTTTTCCCCCATTCTCCTTGTCATTCTACATCAGGAAAGTTCTTAGCAACTTTATCGGGCTTCCTTCTTCCACTTCTCTTCACGCTCACATCCCTCACTACCGTGTAAGCCACGATTGGTTTTGAGTACTTTCTAGGAAATGTGTCTCCAACGAACCAGAAAAGAAGAACGGGTTATGAACACAATTTCAGTGCGTATACTCTCCTGGACGGTTTCTTGTACCTTTCCACCTCTTCGTACACTTTGCCACATGTTTCCGGTACGAACCAACATGCTCAAACGCACAGCTTCACGTGCCATACCATCATCATTGTTTTCGGGCAGATTTAGTTGAGGTATAGAATTCCAAACAGCATCTATTGCCCTTGCATCTTATTCCTATCCAGATCGTTCACCCCATCTTTGTCGTGTCATTTTTCATCATTCTCTCTTGGTCCTTCCCCCCCACTCTCCTTACCATTCCACATCAGGAAAGTTTCTAGCAATCTTGTCAGGCTTCCTTCTTCCACTTCTCTTCACGCTCACATCCCTCACTACCGTGTAAGCCATGATTGATTTTGAGAACTTTCTAGAAAAGCGTTTCCAGCGAACCAGAAAGGAGGAACGGGTTATAAACACAATTTCAGTGCATATACTCTCATAGACGTTTTCTCGTATCTTTCCATCTGTTCGTCCACTTTGCCACATCTCTCTTGTATGAGCCAACACACTCACATGCACAGCTTCACCTGCCATACCACCATCAATGTGTTTGGGCTGATTTAGTTCGGGTATAGAATTCCAAACAGCATTTATTGCCCTTGCATCATATTCCTATCCTGATAGTTCACCCCATCTTTGTCATTTCTTTTATTGTCACTTTGGCTTGCTCGTTTTCCCCCATTGTCCTTGCCCTTATACACCAGGAAAGTTCCCAGCAACCTTGTCGGGCTTCCTCCTTCCACTTTTAACGCTCACATCCCTCACTACCGTGTAAGCCACGATTGATTTTAAAAAGATTAAAGGGAAATGTATTTCCAACGAACCTGAAGGGAAAACGAGAAATGAACACATTTTCATTGCGTTTACTCTCTTGAACGTTTTCTCGTATCTTTCCACCTCTTTGTCTACTTTACAACATGTTTCTGGTAGGAGCCAACACACTCACACGCACAGTTTTACATGCCATTCCACCATCAATGTTCTTGGGCAGATTTGGTTGGGTCGTAGAATTCCAAACAGGATCTATTGCCCATGCATCCTTTTACTATATGATAGTTCACCCCATATTTGCCGTTCCCCTTATCGTCACTTTACTTATATCAGCAAAGATGATAACTTGTTTTTTAAATTAGAATAGTTTTTAAGATTTTCAATCTGATTTGATAAGACGTATGTTTTTATCCTGTTTTGTAAGGTTATATGGTTGTATAGTGAATGATGTGAGATCGAGAATTGTGTATTTGAGTTAATGGTATTCTAATACAAATCACACCTCACATCACTTATACAACGCTTGGCTATCCGTTCCTTGCTACACCGCTTCCCAGAAGCGACTCTCATTTGCAACCTGACCGGTGCATCTTATTTTGCAACACATTCGCTTGTCCGGTCCAAATGGAAATGCTCTTGTTTTCGTACTAATTGTCGATGAAGAACATAGTCTTCCTGATCATCCCATGCATTCATGTAAAAATTCTTGGGCAATTTGCATTTCTTATTCTCTTACCACCACAGGGCCTCGCACACACACTTCTTATCTTTCGCGGCTTGCTATTGTCTATCGCCCTCGTCCTGCTTGTTGCTGCCCTTAGCCTCGTAAGCATTTGCGTACCCAGCTTCGTGAATCGTTCTTCGTTGCAAGATACCTTGCATCTGCCTCTACTGATTCCATTCTCTCCTTCACCCATCGCTTTTTTTCTACTGCTCCCAGCCTTTGCTTTCATCCTCTTGCTACTTAGTATGAAATTATCTTTGTCTTTTCTGTCGTCTCACCCATTCTTGTATAACTTGTTTGTCATTCTGCACTACTTCATATTGTCCTACTCCTCAATTTCGTGCTCATCACATGTTCTGTAAATTTTTGGAAAAACATCATTTGAATAAACACATTTTGTTACCACATTTGCGAAATTGGTATGGATTTCCATATCTTTCATTCAATCTGATACGACATATGATTGTTTCTTCTTCTGTTTCTTTACAAGTTTTATAGATAACGTCGGAGACCCAAAAAATTGTATTTAAGTTGATATATGTTACTACAAATTACGCCTCACATCACTAACATAAGGCTTGCCTATCCTCCCTTGTTACACTCCTTTCCTGAAGCGCCTCTCATCTTTTGCAGCTGCTGCTTCTCTCATTCGCCCTCGCTCTTCTTGCTGCTGCTGCTAGCCTTGTAAGCGACTACGCACCTAGATTTTTGCATCGTTCCTACTTGCATGATACTTTGCATCTACCTCTTCCTTGTCCTTTCCCTCCTTCAGCCTTATCCTGCCCCGAGCTGCCCCCAATATTGCATAATACCTGCGACCCATACGTTCTCTCTTCCCTCTCTTCCTCCCCCCCCCATCATTTCTCACTCTACTGCTCCTTCGAACCGTATCCGCACGTCTTATCCGTACGTAGGTTCATTTGTTCTCTCCCTCCTTGTCGTAAAAGAACATTGTTCCTATGATAATCCCAAGCGTGCATGTTTATTTTATGGTCAATTTGCACATCTTATTCTTTCAACCCCCCAGGCCCCCTCGGATCACTCGTACAAGGCCTTGCCATCCGTTCCTTGTTGCACTGCTTCCTAGAAGCACCTCTCATCTTCCGTGGCCTACTGCTGCTTTTATTCACCTTCGTCAGCTTGCTATTGCGCCTAGTCTCGTAAGAGTCTGCGCACCCAGCTTTGTGGATCATTTCTTCTTGCAGAATGTTTTGCACCAGCCTATGTTTTGTCTCTTTTCTACCTCACCCTTATCTTGCTTGCCAAGCATGTTAGATTGAGTTTTTCAAAAGCTTTCGTATTTATGATTTTTTTTTTTCATTGCACGTGCGCCTTGTACAGGTGTTCTGAGACACTTTTGTGGTTTGGTTGGACGTGCGCTCCACTATGGCCAACTCGGACGTTATCTTTACGGGAGAGCAGACAGACGGTGAGTTTCATAAGCAATATTGTTTAGAGTTGGTACATATTTCAGGAGATGGTAATTGCTTGTTTGGAAGTTTATCCATGGGGTTATACGGTACGCAAGAATTGTACAAAGGCGTAAAACAAAAAATATTGCGACACGTTGTTGAGAATTGGGAGATGTCAGAATATGAGTATCCTGTAGGGGCTAGTGTGGGACACGAGCGCCATTTTGAGTCAGCTTATGAGTATTTCGACAATCTTTCACCTGATGGCATTTATGGATCTAGTAACGAGGTGAGTGCATTTTCTGTTGTGTACAACACGACAACGATTATTTGGCCAAGTACGATCCAGTTTGTCGCTTGCTATCGGGCACAAGAAGGTACGCCTACCGAGCGTGTGATGCATTTGTATTTTGATTATTCTAGAGCACATTACTCTTTACTCGTTCCTACTCAAAACGGCGTCATATACGGCACTCGATATCTATCACATGAGTATATGTTGGGCATTCGGATGACAGTACCAGAGGTTTTTCGAAAGCAAGACCGCAAGAATTTGCCAAGAAACCCTGTAAGTCCTGTGAACTCTATTGATGACCACTTGCTGTTAAGATAGTGGCTAGAACGAGGAGCCATAGCTAGGTCAACCCTAGCTAAGCAAGAGAAAATAGGCAAAGGAGGGGTTGCACTAGCAAGCAGGTGGATACAAATAGGAAACCCTAAGGGGCTGAACTCACTATAGAGTACCCCACTGCAGGCTAGACAAGCATTATATTCTGACACACCCCCATAGTAAAAGTGGGGTATAATCAGCACAGCAAGCAGGCATAGAGCAATAGTTCACAATGATAAGCAAAACTAGGGGCTATCACAGAGGGCAAGTGAGGAGGAGGAGAGACTATGGGGGAGAGAAGATGGGGGCGACAGCTGAAGCTGCAGACACACAGGAGCTGCTGGCTCAGTGGCTACCGAACCAAAGGCCCTGACTACAGGAGTAACTGGCTCCGCGGAGATTGTAGCCTCCAGACCTGAGCAACTGACCCACAGGCGACTGGCGACTACCGGAGATTGTAGCCTCCGGACTACTATGTCAGAATGTTATAATCTAGCCTGTAGTAGGATGCTCTATAGCGGGTACAACCCATCTAGGGTTTGCTATATGTATCCTCATTGCTGCTAGTGAATTCCTCCTCCTTCTTTGCCTAAACTTTCTCTTGCCTAGCTAGGGCTTACGAAGCTATGGCTCCTAACTCTGTCTACTATTCTCACATGGTATCAGAGTAGTTACGCTCCTCGCCTGTGGGCCCTCCTGCTTCCGCTGCCCTACTCTGTATCGCGCGCCCCGGGGCGCGCGACCTTCACTTTTTCATCCCGCCGCGCGCTCGGGGCGCGCGGCGGTTTTCTGTCCGCCGTGCGCCCCGAGGCGCGCGGCGGTTTCCTGCCGTGGGGGAGCCCGCGCGCGCCCCGCCCGTTCGTCGCGGCGCCCTGGGGAGCCCGCGAGCGCCCCGCCCGTTCGTCGCGGCGCCCTGGGGAGCCCGCGAGCGCCCCGCCCGTTCGTCGCGGCGCCCTGGGGAGCCCGCGAGCGCCCCGTCCTGCTCGTCACGGCGCCCTGGGGAGCACGTGCGGCCCCCGCCCGTTCGTCGCGGCGCCCTGGGGAGCCCGCGCACGCCCCGCCCGTCCGCCGCGGCGCCCTGGGGAGCCGTGCGCGCCACCCCCCTCCCCCCGTCCCGCCCGTCCGTTTTGGCGCCCTGGGGGTCGCGAGCCGTCCCCCCTCGCCGTCCCCTGCGCTCCTGCCCCTATCCCACCCGTTTTAGGGTTTGGGGGTGAGAAGTGTGGGGGTGGCGGTTGTGGGGGTGTCGGTTGTGTGTTACTCCCCTTTCTCCTCTTCCTCCCTGGTCTCCCACTGCTGCAGCTGCCGCTGAGGGGGGTGGGTGTGTGGGAGCCTAGGGTTTAGGGTTTAAGGGGGGTGCCGTGGGAGTGGAGCTAGGGTTCAGCAGGGGGTTTGTGTCGAGGATGTGGGGCAGTTGGAGGAGTTTGTGTGAACGTAGCTGTCGTGTCGCCTGCAGCGCCTGTAGTCCGTCACCCTTGCTTCAGTAGCCAGTGAGCCTGTTGCACCAGTCGCCAGTGGGTCCGTTGCTCCTGCCGCTCGTCTATAGCCGCGGAGCCAGTCACTCCAGTAGTCCGTCGCCCTTGCTTCGGTAGCCACTGAGTCAGCCGCTCCTGTGCCCGTGCCTCTGCAGCTTCAGTCGTTGCCTCGCATCTTCTCTCCCTCCACAGTTCCTTCTCCTCCTCACTTGCCCGCTGTGATTAACTCTAGCTTTGCTTACTATTGTGAACTCCTGCTATACCTGCTCATTGTGCTGATTACACCCCACTTTGGCTATGGGGGTGTGTCAGAATGTTATAATCTAGCCTGTAGTGGGGTGCTCTATAGCGGGTACAACCCATCTAGGGTTTGCTATATGTATCATCATTGCTGCTAGTGAATTCCTCCTCCTTTGCCTAAACTTTCTCTTGCCTACCTAGGGCTTACCTAGCTATGGCTCCTTACTCTGTCTACTACTCTCACATACTGGTGCTGCTGGCGACACGACGGCTGCCTCCACTCAACCTCCCCCAGCTGCCCCACGCCCCTCTCACACACCCCTTGCTCAAACCCTAGCTCCACTCCCATGGCACCCCCCTTAAACCCTAAACCCTAGGCTCCCACACACCCACCCCCCTCAGCGACAGCTGCAGTAGTGGGAGACGAGGGAGGAGGAGGAGCAAGGGGAGGAACTCACAACCGCCACCCCCACACCCACCACCCCCAAACCCTAACGCAGGTAGGAGCGCGGGAAGCAGTAGGGGCGGGTCACGGAGGGAAAGGGAGGCGGCGGGGGTTCTCCAGGGCGCCACGAAGGAGCAGGGCGCGGGCCCCCCAAGGGCGCCACGGCGGGTGACGGGAGGGGGGCCGCGCACGGGCCCACGAGGGCGGCTAGACGGGCGACGGGAGGGGCCGCGCGCGGGCCCCCAAGGCGCCGCGACGAGGCGACGGTTGGGGCCGGCGCGCGGGCCCCCAAGGCGCCGCGACGAGGCGACGGGAGGGGCCGGCGCGCGGGCCCCCAAGGCGCCGCGACGAGGCGACGGGAGGGGCCGGCACGCGGGCCCCCAAGGCGTCGCGACGAGGCGACGGGAGGGGCCGGCGCGCGGGCCCCCAAGGCGTCGCGACGCGGCGACGGGAGGGGCCGGCGCACGGGCCCCCAAAGCGCCGCGACGAGGCGACGGGAGGGGCCGGCGCACGGGCCCCCAAAGCGCCGCGACGAGGTGACGGGAGGGGCCTGCGCGCGGGCCCCCAAGGCGCCGCGACGAAGGGACGGGAGGGGCCGGCGCGCGGGCCCCCAGGGCGCCGCGACAAGGCGACGGGAGGAGGGCGACGCGCGGGCCCCCAAGGCGCCTCACGAAGCAGGATGCCGCCGCGCGCCTCGGGGCGCACGGCGGGCAGAAAACCGCCACGCGCTTGGGGCGCGTGGCGGGAAGAAAAATCGAAGGTCGCGCGCCACGGGGCGCGCGACACACAGTAGGGCACCGGAAGCAGGTGGGCCCACAGGCCAGGAACGTAACCGCTCTGATAGCATGTTAAGATAGTGGCTATTACAAGGAGCCATAGCTAGGTAAACCCTAGGTAGGCAAGAGAAAATAGGTGATACGCAGGGGTATGCCATGGATGTAACATTTGGATTGCACGTCGATTCTGGCGTTCCTATTCCAAATGACGAACTCGACTTGAAGTTCAAAGACGTATCATTTAAGAGAAAGCCTTTTAAGAAAAAAAAAAGACAAGCAATTGATAAAGTTTCATCAAGATTCCAAGTGCGGACCTGATATAGAATGCCAATCATGCGGTACACTAAATTTTGAGCATTATATGGTTGGAACAAAGACTGGGCGATCATTCCAACGTATATGTCGATATTGTGCAAAATATGAAAGCGACGGAAAAACGTCACCATTGTCTAACCTTAATCAACATGGTTTCCCTGCAAGACCATTGGATTTTTCAGATATAACACCATTGGAAGAGCGATTAGTGAGCCCTCGTATACCTTTCATGAAGATTCATTCTTTGTCTGTTGAAGCATACGTGGCGGTGTAATAAACATCCCCGTCAAGGTCGATGAAATGGTGCAGGCCCTTCCACGATTACCAGATGATACACATACTATCAAAGTACAATTAAAACAAAAGCTTGTTTACGAAACTAACGTTCTTGAAGAGAATATACGTCCTGCAAAATTTCTAAAAACATTGCGTTTTCTTTGCAATCAAGATCTTTTCAAAGAGTATGGCATCCATATCAACAAATACAATATGAAACAATACGAGGGCCATCATGGTGCATCAATATCAAATGATAGTATTAACAACAATGACAAAACACCACATGAATCAGCATCTGCGTCCTCAGATGAAAGTGAAGATGCTGATGATCACAATGTTGGTGTGATTGATACTCTTTTACCACAAGAACCATTTTATCAGCAACCTTCACAATGCATGGTTCAGATGGCACCTGGTGAACATGCAAAACCGTTGTCTATTATACTGGATAAAGACGTCGAAGAATTGAGTTTTCCTACGATTTATTGTGGTCAACGAAGATTTAAAGGATCGCATGATGTGATCGTTTCGTATTCGGATATAGCCAAGTGGGAAATAAAACATGTCAACGGTCGTTGCGCAACCAATATTTCGAATATATTTTTCAAACTGTACAAAAAAGAGATTCTTCAAGTGCAAAACGTGATCCCAACTAGGGTTAGACAAGAAAAAATCGGAAATTTGCAAACATTCACCGCAAGTGACATGTTAAGCGAAACGAAGTGTGCTAGCTTGCAACAGAAGGACGCTCTCTACAATGACTTTAAGAAAATGCGCACTACACAACACTACAGAGACATATGCAAGCGATTCTTTTTTGCGTTGCTCCGTCAATTAGGAAGACCGATGTTCTTTTTGACGTTATCGATGGCGGACAACA